CGTTTCACTAGAGCCTGCGTTCTGACGAGAAGCTAGTCCATTCTAGGGCCTCCCCTGGTGGCGCAGCGGTTGAGCGCTGGGCTGCGAGGCTGCCCGCAGCCTCTGCAGCACCGGTTCGTTCCCCGGCCTCGCCGGCGAGGGTCCCACAAAAAAAAAAAAAAGAAGCTAGTCCATTCTACCTCTTAGCAGCCAGAGCAAAGGTGACGGCACACAGGGTTCAGGCTTTGGTTCTGTGTTCTGGCTCCAGCGGGGGACTAGGAAAGCCCCCCTGGGTGGAGGAGCAAACTTTGCTGGGCCATGGGACTTAAGCAGGAGTGGCTGACGAGCTTGCCAAGCGAAGGCCCAGGGCTGGACAACACCGGGCACATGGGGCCTCCATCACCCAGGCTGCTGCTCTGAGCTCTGCGGGTGGCATCTCAGAGCCAAGGTTGGCAAAGGAACCCAGTTCTGGGGCCAGTGGACTTTGTCCTCTCAGGTGGAGCTAAATCAGAGCGGGTGTGTCCGGACTGAGTGTGGGAGATGACAGGGCCTGTGCCAGCTCTGGGCCCAGCGTGGGACAAAAGGGACAGGACAGAGCCCCCAAAGGCCAGTCTTGATCTCTGCCGCGGACCAGCACAGCAGTGAACGATGAGGCCGTCTCAGGGTTGAGAGACTGCGCAGGGTGGTCAGGGATTCGGCCAAAGAAATGACAAACAGACACACTTCAAGAGAGTGAAAATCTGAGTGTAATTTTCTTTGAGTTGGTGACCAGTATATATATGTTTTCTAAAGGCATAGGAATGGCGAACATCAGTGAAGAAATCAGCTTGCTTATAGGTTTAGCTTATCATTGACAGGGCAGTGATTTACATCTGGAAGCAGGCGCATTCCTAAGTAGTTAGGCTATTAATTTTTCTTTTTGTTTTATGTGATTACTTTTTGTTTAAACTACTCACTACCACTAAATTACTATTAATTAGCACGGGTGAGTTTTACTTTTCACAATGTAATATTTTTATCATTAAGATTAATGCTAACAGGCGCGCAGACCTCTCCTGCCGCCCGCTGCTCCCCTCAGCAGTGTCCTTCGGTCCTTCTGCCTGCTCTGCTCCCCGCTCTGGCTCTGGTGAATTCGCTCACCCTCCCGCGCTTCTGACTGTGCCCAGTGCTTGTATAAACAAAACCAACCAACAAACAAGCAAATAAATAAAACATGCCTCTATAAAAAAAAAAAAAGATTAATGCTAACAAGGCTAAGCATACAACAGAGAAATTATTAAGCTAACAGTTCTATTAATACACAGAGTTTAGTAACGTTTCATTTGAATTAGCCTAGTTATTAGATTTTGTATGTTCTTTTTTTTTTTATTTTTTATTTTATTTTTTTTTTTTATAGAGGCATGTTTTATTTATTTATTTTGTTTGTTTGTTTGTTTTGTTTATACATGCACTGGGTACAGTCAGAAGCGCGGGAGGGTGAGAGAATTCACCAGAGCCAGAGCGGGGAGCAGAGCAGGCAGAAGGACCGAAGGACACTGCTGAGGGGAGCAGCGGGCGGCAGGAGAGGTCTGCGCGCCATGTGGGATCCTCCGCCGGTGGCCGGGGAGCAGCCGGGGATCGAACCGGCGCCGCAGAGGCCGCGGGCAGCTTCGCAACCCAGCGCTCAACCGCTGCGCCACCGGGGAGGCCCTGTATGTTCTTTTTTAATCAGCAAACCAATGACCTTTTTAGACAGAGAAAGAAAAGATTTTAGAGAGACAGTTGTATTAGAATAAAGTTTGTGTTCCCTGCGGTCAGCATTCCTGTAGTGGCTCCTGGGGGTCGTTATCTTTCAACAGGCTTCCGTCTTATCTATGTCTTCAGGGCGTTTTGCTGTTCTCCCCCTGCGAGCTGGTTCCTTGCCCAGCCGGACCTAGGGACCTTGGCAAAAGTCATTAGCCCTAAAGGTCACTGCAGGGGGAGGTGCAGCAGATCTCTCCCCAGCCCTGGGTCCGTGTCCCCACCCTGGCAGGGCTAGGGAGAGAATACATTTCTGTGGTTTTAAGCCACCAAGTCTCAGCATCCTCAGGCCCCTGTGACAAAGAGCAGGGAATGGGTCGGGAATTGTCAGGTCAGAGCCTCTGGAGGGGGTGCCCTTAGCCTGCACGTAGACGTAGCGAGGACACTGCTGTGCTGAGCCCTAGACTGAGTTAAATTCCCAGCGGCCCTAGGACACTGAACTGTGACCAGGCGGGACGGGAGTGCCTTGGGAACAGGAGCTGCCTGTGCCCATCCTGATGGGTCACCTGCCCATCCATGTGGGTCAGCTCCCTGGCTGGGGATCGAACTCAGGCTGCAGTGGCTGCTGATAGTGTCATAGTGCTGAGACTTAACCCCTTGCGCCACCAGGGAGGCCCCCATGAATCTTTTTCTCTGGGCTCTCTCGAGTTCTCTCGTGGTCTCACCTCTCTGAAGTCACACGGCGCATCCTAGTAGCCGCCCCATCTCTGACAGACGCCACCCTTTCAGCCCCGGCCTCCAGGCTCAGGTGTGCACATGCACAGGCCCATACGCACGCTCAAGTGTCCACCATCAGGCCTGCCTGCCCCGTGCCCACACTTCCAAGTGCCTTCTGCATCACCGCGACCAAGGCCGCAGGTGATGGCCACAGAGAACAGTGGCACAAAAAACCTGACTAATTCATTTAGCCTACAGGTGTGCACCCCCTTCTTAATGAGCCTCCCATCACTCCAGTGGCTGCTTGCTTTTCCTTTGTGAGATGCATGTGTTTGCTTGGTCTCTTTATTTTTTTTTTAAAGATTTATTTATGTATACAAGAACTGGGGTACAGGCTAGAGGCGTGGGGGTGGGAGGATCCACCAGAGACAGAGTGGGGAGCAGAACAGGCAGACTGACTGAAATACACTGCTGAGGGGAGCAGCGGGCAAGTCAGGAGAGGTCTGCTGTGCCATGTGGGTAGCTCCCAGTCCCAGGATCGAACTCGTGCTGCAGTGGCTGCGGATTGCTTCATAGGTTGCGTCTTAACCCCTTGCACCACCAGGGAGGCCCTGCTTGGTCTCTTTAAATAGAAGGGTGCTCATATAGGCCTGAGACCTCCAACCTCAGAAGTTGAAAGTTCTTAAGTATCTGCGGGGTGAGAGAGGGGAGAGGTTCTGTATCCAGAAAGGGCCAGCGCAGCCTGCGACCTCAGGGTCCTGCCTGCCTTGGAGGCTGGTTCTGCTGCCCCATCTTCTGCATCGTAGAGCCTCCTGAAAGATAAGATCTGACCTCCCACATAAGCCACCCCAGGGTCTCTGACCCCCCCACAGCTGCCATGCCATGTTGCCAGCATTGGGGACCTGGCCCTGGCCAGGCACCCCTGAGTGCAAAGTCCAGCAGGCCACAGTGACCAGGACACGTTGGGGGCCCATGGCTTTGTGTCTGTTTTCTGCATGACATCTCCCTCTGCCAACCTTCAAACGAGAAATTCATCAGTGGAAAGTTTCCCTGAAGTGGTAATTTTCCTAAATGACTTGGTGATGGTGCCGCATGCACACTTCCTCCACGAAATCCGGCGGCCTGTGCTTGTGTCCCCAGCCCCTCTAACCTCGGGACCCTCCGGGGCTGCCTTGCCCTCTCCCCGGACAGTCCCTCTCCTCTGCATCCCCCGTCACCCCAGGCCCAGAGAAAAGGCTTCTGATTCTGAGGCCCTGGCAGGAAGCTCTTTCCAGAAGTCTCCCAGCCCTGGTGACTGCCAGGAGGCCCGATCCACCCCAGCTAATTAGAGCCTTTTCCTTAAGCTGCACTTTAGTCTTCTGTCATTCATTCTCGCAGTGATAATGGACTTGGATAAGAGGTCACAGCTTCTCCACATCCTGCTCTCCTTACTGGGGAGGGGGGAGACGGGCCAGCCCCCCTCAGAGCTCCTGCCTGCTTGGGGGAGTGGCGAGGGGGGCTGGCTGCGGGCTGAGCAGCTGTGATGTATTCGCCCCCATCGCCAGGCCAGAGCCCCACTCCCCCAAGTGGGCACCGCTCCCCACCTTCGGGCTCTGCGCCTGCAGTGTCTCTGGTGCCATTAGCATGAACGTGATAAAACGGCACAGTGTAAATGTTAATAAGTCTGATGCCTCTGCGGCTTCCGAGTGGCAGATTGGAAATGGGCCCATCACCGCCACTCCAACCAGCAGCTCTTAATTCTCCGCTCCCTGAGCAGCCAATTCGGCTCGGAAATCCTAACCAGCCCTCGGTTCCCAGCCCCCCTCTACTGGGCCATGTTCACCCCCATTTTCTCTTGCAGAGAGTTCATGTTTCCCACACACCCCTTTGCTAAGACAGCGTTTGATTTATTCTTTTTCCGTATAGTAAGCAGCGGCTTTGCTGGCCCCCCCAAGGGGACAAACCAAGGGGCCGGTTCTGGCCGGCACCCACCCTGGCCACACCCCGCCCCACCCTGCACCTCTCCACGCCTGGCATTCCTGGGGGAGACCCTGCCCTTGCGGCCCAGGGTACTTTTCTGGGTGATCTGCCCTGGCAGCCGCTGGCTCTCCCCAGGCTTCCCTCTCTTCAAGTCAAGGAGGCTGCTGATTCACCCGTCTCGATTAATCCTTCCTCCCCAGCAAGCCCTTTTGGACAGTGTCGTCTCCGCTTGTGCCCCTCTCCCTGGGTCCTCCCTCCTGGTAAACCCAGAGGCCCAAGCCAGCCTGCTGTCCTTTGGGCTCTCGTCCTCCTGCCCTCTCGGGCCCTATCCCTGTTCTTGCCCAGCTCCGTGCCCTCCCTGAATCCTCAGTCAGCGTCTGCTGAGGAGCCGAGGCGGGAGCCTGCGGTGCGTCCCTAGGCTGACCCAGTGACCCGGACAGTCGGCGTGAGGAATGGCGGAGAGTGGCTCTGGCCTCATTCCTCCCGGCACTAGCGACTCACCAGGCGCTGTCTGCCCAGGGACCCTCCACCGTCCGGGGCTGCTGGGTCAAGCCTGTGGCAGAGCTGCAGGAGCGGGTGTCGGTGCAGCCTGGCCTCTGCCCCCCTCACTCTTGTTCTCCCCCCAGGCTGTCTTCACTCTCCTCCTGGGACCTTTCACCTTCTTTGACGTCCAGAAGACCAAATACCTGCAGCTCCTGACCTCTCTGATGAGATGGATCGGTGAGTCGGAAACGTCTCCATTCCCCGCCCTCCCCCCCTGGCAGCCGCAGCGCGGGCTCTCGGACTGCAGAGGGCAAGGCGGTGGCAGGGGCTCTGCCCGCCCTTTTACTGGTGTGGAAATGTGGTGCTGAGAAGGTGACTTCAAGGTCGGGGAGTGGTGGGCCTGGGGCTAGGACCCGTGATTCTGGGGCCCAACCGAGTCAGGCCCAACCAGACCCCCAGTCTGGGCTTATGAGGCCTGGGTCAGGCCGTGCGCCCTTCAGAACGTGCGCGTGGCACTGTGGTCCTCAGCCATGAGCCCAGACGCCAGGGAGGCCGCTCTGTGTCTCAGGGCCCCGAAGCATCAAAACACACCCCTCCCAAATACCAACTCACGCCCCGCTGAGCAAGAGTGCTGTTGTCTTCAGGGGAAGTTTGGGGGTCTTAGGGTTCTCTTTTATCCCACTATACCATCCCACCACCCACCCAAGGGCCAGCTGCTGAGCCATCTGAGCTCAGGGTAGGAGGATATGGGGTTCCTGTCCCTTCCCCCACACACACACCAGCCAGCACACGCTCTAGGCATCAGCTGGCGCCTGTGAGGTCTAAAAGCAAAGGACGCTGTGGTGTTCTGGTTGAGGCGCTGCCACAGAGGCTAGGGCAGCCTCTGGGAGTCCCCCAGGGGTGCTTCCTGGGACCTTGCCTGCTCTTCAGCTCGCAGGTTCCAGGGGAACCCGAGCTTGGAACGCCTCCCTCCTGACCCTCTTCCCCATGCCCTGTTCCCTCTACGTTTGCCCCGAGCCAGGACACGGCTGCACCCTGCTGTTCCCTGCCAGCAGGCCGCTCCAGACCAGGAGCACGCAGGCCAATTTCAGCTCCAGATCCTTTCCGGCAATCCTGGCGCCACCAGTCTCTGGGGTCAGGATTGCAGGAGCCAGCACAGCCCAAGAGTCCTGGCATCTTCAGTGAGATCCAGCCTGACCCCTGCTCCCCATGGGGGTCCCATTGCAGTGCACGGACACCCGGGGGCTCCCGGGAGCTCACAACGGGGTTGAGGGGGAGACCCCTGCTGTGCTCTGCGGGGGACATCGGTCAGTGCCAGCAAGTTCTGCCTTGTTCTAAGCCAAACCCTGAACCTTGTGACTTCTCTTTTCTTTTTTTTTAAGATTTATTTATTTATGCGTACAAGAGCTGGGGTACAGGCCAGAGGTGTGGTTGGTGAGAGGATTCACCAGAGACAGAGTGGGGAGCAGAATAGGCAGATGGACCGAAATACACTGCTGAGGGGAGCAGAGGGGAGACAGGAGAGATCTGCTGCGCCATGTGGGTAGCTCCCTGGCCAGGGATTGAACTCGTGCTGTGGCGGCTGCCAATAGCTTCATAGTGCTGCATCTCAACCCCTTGCACCACTAGGGAGGCCCCAAGAACCTTGTAACTTTTTCCCACTCATGGTCCCTCCTGGCGAGCAGATGAGAGGAGGCCCCGTCATCCGATGCGTGAGACCTCTAGGGCCTCTGTCATTCATCCAGCTGAGGCAGGGGGCAGGGGGCACCCATCCTGTGCCTGCTTGGGCACAATTCCTGTCTGCCCCCTTCTGCTGTCTGCTCCTGCACCCACCTGCAGGGCATCTCCCCACACCTGGCTCAGGTGCCCCTGAGCCCTGGGTTAAATGAGAACAAGTTACTTAGAACACAAGGGTCACCCTAGCGCTCAGGTTACATGTTGGAATGGAGCCTCCTGGGGTGTCAGGAAGGATTGGGTCAAAAGTCAGAGGATCAGAATCACCAGCCACCGACCCTCCCTCCCCCTGCAGTCAGCTCATTTACAGGAAGTGTGTGAAAGCCCGTGACCTTCAGAGGGAGCGCCTCAGTGAGGCAGGATGGGCAGGAAAATGTTCTCTCTCCTGCTTTTCCCGACCCGGGTCCGTTGTCTTAGCTCCTCCGCTTCCTGAATCTGAGACCCCGAGTTCTGGTGCTGGGGCCCCACCCCGCTCCTTGGCTGCCCGGGCTCTGCTGTGGCTGGGTGGGAGGGGTCGCCCGCCCGGCTCTGCTCTCACCCCCCGTGCAGGAGGGCGGGCCGGGGTGGGGAGAGGGGGAAGCTCGCGCTCCGGCCCGCGTGACGGGTCCCCGTGGCAGCCCACGAGGGGACGGCCGCCCGGATAATGACAGTTAATGGCTTCCGTAACACCCAGTGCCCGTTTAGCGTGACGACGTCCTCTGGCGTCTGTGAGCAGCACATTCATTAGAGGCAGAAGGCGGCATGAGGCTGGCGGTAAATAAAGAGCGACTGTCTTAGGGCAGAACGTGAGCGCCCCGAGACCCTGAAGGGACTCGGCTTCCACCTGCAGGGGGCGCTGAGCTTCCTGGGGGCTCAGGCGGCTGGGCCAGCCCTGGCGTCCATCCCGCTGGCGGAGCCTCTCCCCGAGACCAGGCTTTTGGGGTAGAATTGGCAGCTCAGTTGCTCTAGGAAACAGACGGCTCAGGTCCACAGTCGGGGGCCACCCAGCCCCCGGTGACCCCACGCTGCGCCTCTGTCTCCCAACCAGAGCCCCACAGAGGGGACTACAGTGGGAAGCAGCCCCTGGCAGTGAGAGGTGGTGGCGGCCGTGACAGGCACTGGGTGGCACAGAGGGCTCGAGGGGGCCACCAGCTGCCAAAGGTCACCCACGCTCGCGCTTCTGGGGTGACATCATTGACTCTCCTTTTGATCGGGGAGATGGCCACAGGGCAGACCCCTCCTGGTGCCACTGGGGGGCCACGCGGCTGTCATTTTTCTCCAGGACAGACTCAGACCTCTGGGCTTGAAGGGTCACCTTCCCTGTGACACAGAGTTCTCTAGGTGGGAGGAAAATCGCCGGGTTAAGTGAGCCCTAAAACGTAGCCGCGCCTGCCATCCGTTCCAGCCGGGGAGGTTGGAGACACCTGGGTTTTCCCTCCGTCGCTCTGGCGGCAGGTGTGTGCAGCCTCCGGACCCCAGGGCAGCAAGGGCCCCAGGACGGGGACGGGAACCGAGAAGCCCCCACGGGCCACCCCACATGCAGCGGCTATGGGAGGGAGCAGGGGCTGCCCACTGGCCATTTGTTGGCCATCTGAGGGGGGGGGTCTCACCTCTGGCCTAAAATCACCCCAAGTGATTTTCCTAAAATTTCCCCCAAGGCACTGAGCCCCAAAGCCCCATTGTCACCTCAAATCTGGTCAGTTTGTAACCAGCTCCCTTTTCATTTTGCTTCTGAAAAGCAGCTGTGTGTGACCGCAGCCCTTCCCCGAGCCCACCCCGCAACCCCCCGGGCTGTCCCGCACTCCCTGTCTAGACTGGGGCCCAGACTATCCGAGGGGCCCGAATGGGGCGCCCGGGGAAGGCAGTGAGCTGGCTGGAGTTCTCGGAAGACGGGGGAAGAATGAGCACCAAAGGGACCGGAAAATCATAAATAAATGTGCTGAGCCGGAAACTTTCTTGTGCCTAATTAGGAATTTGTTCGGCCATCTGTTGAAACGAGGCCGGCGCAGGCTGCAGGCACCCCGCCCCACGCGGGCCCCCGGAGCACCGGGCGCGCTGAGGAGTCCTCCGGTTGCTTTGCTCCTCACGTGACCTTTCCCTGTGCCCCCCTCCAGCTCATGGGCCCCGGCCTCCCTGGTGCTGCCAGGACGGATTTTAAGAGTTAGGTGGCCTTTGCCAATAGCATGTTGTCCAGGAAAAGGTCAGACCGCGTATGACAAGTGGCCTGTTGATTTCTTCCGCCGCCCAGATTAGTCCTGCGTGTCGGGGAATCCATCTGGAAGATCGGAGGCCAAGGCCTCTGGGCTCACGTGTACAAGGGGTGGCCTCTGTGGAGACTTGTTCTGACCCGAGCAGACCTGACCAGACCCCTGTGTCACCCGATCCCTCATGCCCAGGTGACCGCTGCAGACGGGCACCAGCTCTCAGCTCTGGCCCTGGCCCTGGTGCCACACCCACCCTGCACCCCTCCCAACAATGTCTGCTCCCCTCAGCTCTCCCTGCACCCACCCAGCCTCCAAGGAGGCTTGAACCTGGGAAAAATGGGCAGCAGGCCTGCGTCAGCGGCCTGGGCTTCCTCCTTAGCTCTGTCAGCTGCCAATAGACCTGGACACTTAGGAGAGGCACAGCCAAAAGCCCTTGGTGCCCACAGACCTGGCTGCTGTGGCTTCCGAGCCGGGCCCCAACCAGATGAAACTGTCTACACCGCCCGGTCACAGGGAGCTCTCGGCCAGAGGGGCCCCAGCATGGCCACCTCCCTCCTGTTACCAACTTTCCTGGCAGACGCCAGCAGACCCCTCCCACGGGGGACGCAAACAGCTGGCTCAGCTCGGGGCGCCCCATTTGGTGTCGTTAAAAAAACGATCCTTTCTAATAAAGGCTGCGTGGAGCGGCGGCCTCCTCGGTCTGGGCTGTCGAGGACCCACAGGGCTCCCTCCCCCTGATTGTGCATTCAGAGAGCAGCGCTGCTCGCATTATTCCTGTCTCTGTGCTCCCCTCAAAGTGGGTCAGGCGCCGGCCGCTCCGCGTTCGCCATCAACTTGAGGCTGCCTGGTGGAGTGGCCGGCCCTGCTCTCCCACCTCCCCCAGCGTGTGCCCCAGATTTGTCTTCCAAACCCAGCCGGCAGGGCGAGGTGGGACTCAGCAGTGGCGGCGAGCAGCAGAAGGTCCCCAGGAGGAGACCGTCACCTGGGCACAGAAGGGTTCTCTGGTCTTGCCTGTCCCCGGGATTACTTGCAGCCGCTTAGCTGACTCCCGCAGATCCACAGCGACCCCGAGCGTCTCCCAGTGGGGGGCTCTCATCTGTCACCACCACAGCCAGGGGTCTTCCTCCTCAGAGCGCCTGCTCCCTGGCCCTGTGGCCTCGGCGGGCCTGCAGGGTGTTGGGATTCCTTCCTGCGTTGTGCCCGGGCCCGTAGGTGTCCACTCTCCCTAAGGGCCGGTGCCGGGAGCACGGCAAAGCCTAGTGAGTATCATTTTGGGTCTTAATTTTATTCTCAGTTTTCTAGAAGTTCCTCGGCAGGCAC